GGTGTGGTGTGTGTGTGGTGTGTGTGGTGTGTGTGGTGTGTGTGTGGTGTGTGTGTGTGTGGTGTGTGGCGTGTGTGTGGTGTGTGTGTGTGGTGTGTGTGGTGTGTGTGTGGTGTGTGTGGTGTGTGTGGTGTGTGTGTGTGGCGTGTGTGGTGTGTGTGTGGTGTGTGTGTGTGGTGTGTGTGGTGTGTGTGGTGTGTGTGTGTGGTGTGTGTGGTGTGTGTGGTGTGTGTGGGGTGTGTGTGTGGTGTGTGTGTGGTGTGTGTGTGGTGTGTGTGGTGTGTGTGTGGTGTGTGTGTGTGTGGTGTGTGTGGTGTGTGTGTGGTGTGTGTGGTGTGTATGGTGTGTGTGTGTGGTGTGTGTGTGTGTGTGTGTGGTGTGTGTGGTGTGTGTGTGTGGTGTGTGTAGTGTGTGTGTGGTGTGTGTGTGGTGTGTGTGTGGTGTGTGTGGTGTGTGTGTGGTGTGTGGTGTGTGTGGGGTGTGTGTGTGATGTGTGTGTGGTGTGTGTGTGGTGTGTGTGTGGTGTGTGGTGTGTGTGGTGTGTGTGGTGTGTGTGTGTGTGTCTTGGAAAGTGCAGCGGTCAGCGTGCCCAATCACCGCCTTGGCCCTCGGAGTCTTAGAAGACGAAGACGATCTGAAGCTCTCAGGGACCCCTTTGGAGTTTAAAAATGGATCTGTTCCCATCCATATTCATCTCTCACAAAAAAACATTTCATGTTACACAACACAACCCCACTTTTCGCGCAGCTTTCTGGGAGAATAAATCCGTTCAGCAGCACGAGAAATGGACCTCCCCTTACGGTTTCGACAATCGGGGTCTCATCAGCATTCTCCCCAACGACGCGAATGATAGCTCTGTGTTGCATATTCACCAAGTTTCCCGTCAAACTAGGACCCAGGGGTCTAACGGAGAGGCCTAAAGACATCCGGCAAATGTCGAAACCGCTTGAAGGGTAAACGTGGATTCAACCAATGCTGCTGCTCACGATAACGAGACGCACTCCCATCGGCCACACGCACAGAGCGTGGAGAGAGACAAACACGGCAAGGAGGCGTTGTTGATGGTGTTTATAGCGACGCGCGTTTGTTTTGGCATCGCCTTTCAACCGGTGCAAAATTGTTCCAGCAAACAACGGCGGAGCGCCGAGAAGGGTGATGCTGGTGGGGAGGGGGGTTGTGGGTCGGTGGCCCTGAGCCTAATTTTAGACTTTGGGGCTGTGGCTGAATCTCAGCCACTCTGAGTGAGATGCCCCCACTCACCGCCCCCCCACCACCCCACGGGAGCTGCGAGGCTGATGGAGGAGGTGTGGGAGGGGGGCACTGCATCACCACTGCCCTATTGTATATTTAGCAGCGGTCAGTGGCAGGTGGCCCAAGTTGACTCTGCCGGTTCCTTCCACGCCTCCAATCATCGGGAGTCTGGCCACCTGGTGCCCCGCTGCCAGTCAGCGCTCTCGGGGTCCTTATTTTTAAAAACCCGGTCGACCTTCTCGACGCGATGCTTGCGATTGACGGGAGAGTCGCGTGTTGCGTTTCTCGTCAGATCGCCGCGTGAGTCAAACGTGTGTCGTGACAGCCTCCTCCACCCGACACAGCCAATCGATGAAACAGAACATTGTTACGTGCACAAACGTGGGCCGGTCTATTATTACTACCTTCTGCGAGCATTCCTCCGCAATCAGGAAAGGGTGGACACGTGACTTCTCTTCGAATTACAGACGTCCTAAAGCAGCTGACATAGCATCAACAGCCATGGTCAATCCACTGCTGGATGAGCTCCCCCCTCCCCCACCAAGCCATTGCCATCTCTGCACTGGCCACTCGATGAAACGATGCGTCTCGAGCGCTCCGCCTCCACATGGGAGGGGCTCATCTCATCGTCGCTCCGTCTCCACGGTGGGCGCCCCCCCCCCCTCTCTCTGGCCCCTTCCACGCCTCTGGCACGCGATGTCCAAGTGGAGGAGGAGCAGCCGGAGTCGTGATGGATCCCAGCAGGGCATCATTGACGCCGCTTCAAACCCGCCGTTTGGGACTCCCTTATCACATCGTCCAACTCTCTCTCTCTCCTCCGATGACCCCCCACCCCCGTAGTTCAAGACACGCCGCCCGCTCTTATCAGCTGCACTCCCATCGCAGTGCAGTGACCGTCTCCACCCAGCGTCTCCGATGGTCTCAAAGTTCCTTCCCCGTGACCTCGTTGGGGAATCTCACTATCCACACCGTCACCACCACTAGCAACACCGCCACCACCACAACCACCACCACCACCACCGTCACCACAACCACCACCACCGTTACCACAACAACCTCCACCATAACTACAACCACCAAACACCGTCACCACCACCACCACCGCCACCACCAAAGACAAAGATCCCCCCAATAAACTTAACAGACCGTAGGGGCAAGTGCTGTTAGCGAGCACCTATGAAGGCCGGCACTGCACACGAGGGGGTGGGTGGCCATCACCACGCCCGACCGCCTTTGTCTCCCTATTGGCGACGTTTACACACCGCACCAGGTACTCATTTGAGGCCGAGTCGACCTAGGAGAGGCCCAGGACCAGTTCAGATAATCGTCACTGTGGTGTTGGCCGTGAGCGGGAATCGAACCCGGCGCCGCCGAATTCGTAGCGCAGCGTAGCGCGGACCGCTCCGCTACCACAGAAGCATTGGCGCAAGTGGCACGCACACACCGAGTTCACAGACCTCCAACCCCACGGCACAGAATGACGCCACCGCCGCTCAAGTTGAAAACAAACCTTTTATTGTCCAAAAGCAGAGTTCGCACACAGAAAGCGGCGTGCGTCACCGTACGCCCGCACGCATGCGCACGCGGCGTTGCTTTGACATTATGAACGCAACGAGAGAGAGAGATAGATAGATATATTTTTTTGGCAATAAAATGTGAATAATGAAATAAAAGTCTAATGAGAAAGTGCCGCGGTGCGTGCGTGCGTGGGAGCGTGGGAGCGTGCGTGCCGAGGACTCGGGGGGCCAAGGGAGCCTCTTGCCGAGCCTCTTGCCGAGCCTCGCCGATCGCCAAATCTCACCAAATGTCAGCGATTCTCACCGAGCTCCGCCGAATTTAGCCCGTGGCAAATTCCAAATGTCCCCAACAAAAAATATCTCACCGAATTTCAAGGAAGCCTTCACCAAATCTCAAATAGACAAGGAATCTCACCAAAGCTCACCAAGTGCACGCCAAATCTCTCAATCCCCAAAATCTTAACCGAAAACCCTCGCCAAAATCCCATCGAATCTCACCAAACCCCTCGCCGAGTCGCAACAAGCGTCCTCTGAAAGTCGGCGAACGCCAACCGAATGTCACGGCCGGCGCTGGCACGCACGCACGCACCACGCGCGGGCGACACAGGCGCCACACGTGGGCCCCCCTGCCCCCCCATCACCAGCCTCGGGCCTCAGCCTGGCGGTGGGGGAGGCGGGGGGGGGGTGTTAATGAGCTGGCAGGTTAATGAGATGACGGGCAGCTAATGAGCGCCATCACCACCGCCGCCGCCGCCACCACCCGGAGCCCAGCCAATCAAGCGTCACCACAAACGGGGGTCACACCGCAGCCAAGCGGGAGTCATCGGCACCGGCAGTGATGGGATCACGGGGGGGGGGGGTCATGGCGGGGGCCTCCAGGATCCAGCCTGGATAGCGGTGATGGGTCACCGAGGGTCACGGTGGGGTCACGGTGGGGTCACGGTGGGGTCACGCCGATGACGCGAGGTGGACTTGCTCCCGTGGTGGACGCTGCACCGGGTAAGCCGGCACCAACGACCGACGGGACACGAACCGCGACCTCCCGTCTCGGCGGCTCGACCGGTACCACGTGACTACCGTGGGCCACGCCCACCAGCGTGGGTCGCCTGGGAGAAATCGTGATGGCCGTCGAGAATACTCCGTGGGGGGGGCACTTCTTGGGCAAGGGCGCGCCGTCCGCGTTGGCGGTGCGGGCGGCCAGAGCGGAGGACACGACCGCCACAAAGATGGAGCGACTACATCCGTGTACGTGCCGGGCGGATCGGTGCATCAAAATCGCAAGGCCGCGACGCTTGGCAAGGATCGTGGTGGGGGCCTTCGTCCAGCAGTGGATAGGCCATGGCTCATTAATGACGATGATGATGGCTGTGGGTTAGGGAGACGCCGGACCGGGGGTCACCGTGGGTCACGCCGCGTGACCACCACCCCCCCCCCGCCCCCCCTCTTAAAGCATCGCCGCCGCCACCACGGCGGCAGCGGCAGGGTTTTGGCGACCGGCCAGAACCCTGCCGCTGTCTTAGCGCGGTCAAACATTCAGGGTTATTTTATTTTTGGTTATAAATCATCTTTGGCAACAACAAAACTAGCGCGAGAAAGCATGGGGGAGGGGGGAGGGGGGGGGGGAGCGGGTGGGGGGGGTCAGCAATAAACGCCGGCGAGACCGCCGCTCGTTCGCTCGTGAAGGAACACGCGGCTCCCGTCTCCACCGAGTCCGCACTGCGCTCGCTCGTCACGTGACGCGTCGTCGCCGCCGCTCGTCACGTGACGCGTCGTCGCCGCTCGTCACGTGACGCGTCGTCGCCGCTCGTCACGTGACTGCCCTGTCCCCGTGTTCTTTCAGCAGCGGCTGCTGCTGCCGCCGCATCACGGGGCTCCCTGCGTGCACCGAGGACGACTCACAGGGAGGTCACGTGACGACACAGGGAGGTCACGTGGCGACACAGGGAGGTCACGTGGCGACACAGGGAGGTCACGTGGCGACACAGGGAGGTCACGTGACGACACAGGGAGGTCACGTGGCGACACAGGGAGGTCACGTGGCGACACAGGGAGGTCACGTGGCGACACAGGGAGGTCACGTGGCGACACAGGGAGGTCACGTGACGACACAGGGAGGTCACGTGGTGACACAGGGAGGTCACGTGACGATACATGGAGGTCACGTGGCGACACAGGGAGGTCACGTGGCGACACAGGGAGGTCACGTGACGACACAGGGAGGTCACGTGGCGACACAGGGAGGTCACGTGGCGACACAGGGAGGTCACGTGGCGACACAGGGAGGTCACGTGGCGACACAGGGAGGTCACGTGGCGACACAGGGAGGTCACGTGACGACACAGGGAGGTCACGTGGCGACACAGGGAGAGCAGCTGCGCGCGAGCGAGGGGCGAGCGTTGCGGGCGGCTGTTTAAGCCACACGTGTTCTGCCTGGACGTAGATCATCGTCGTGACGATCACGATGGTAGCAGCAGCAGCAGCAGGAGCTATCGAGCGGGAGAGGCGCGCGCACGCGAGCTCAGCGCCAGCCTCTCCAGGGTTCAACACCGGACGGTCGGGGGATCGGCACCGTCCGTGTCTGGGCGGCGGAGGGGGATTCGTTACGGAGATCCGTCACCGGTGCTGCCGTGGGGAACTTCACTGCGGTGTGCGGGAGTGGTGGTGGTGGTGGTGGTCGGCCGAGTGCCGTCCGAGCCACCCGCCCCGGTTTGGTCTGCGGTGGAGAAGGAGGCGACCCCCTGTGACTCGGGTGAGCGTGCGTGTACGCAGCACACACGCTCACGCGTCCCCCCACGCTGTTCCAGCAGCGGCGAGGCGGGCGTGAGGGTGAGTGTGTTCGCGAGTGCGAGTGAGTGTGTGTGTGCACCTAGCCTGGCACAAGTTATGTTGCGACGTGACCACCGCTTAGTGGTGAATGGCGGTTGTTGTTGAGTGTACAGGCGAGAGAGTGTGTGTAGTAGCCACACCCATAGCGAGGAGCATGGAGGATGTGGTGAGTCGCGTGTTGTACAACAAACGATATAGGAGAACCCCTCTAAACGACCGCCCCTGTTAATGCCTAATCGCTTCACGACAGCCTCCTCAGAGCCCAATGTGTTCGCTTACCGGCCACTCCCTTGTTTAACGACGGGCTGTTGTAGGTACGGTAAATATTAATTAATGCGTCGATTAACCATGTTCCTTTTAATATCATGTGTTCACATTGTTGTCAGCATCTTTACGCGTTCATAACCATTGTTTAAATATTATGAAGCACGTTTTTCGGGTGACAAATGGTAACTTCCGATGCTATCGGAACGAATTAAACCTTTAACGTTAATTTCCAAGACTCGCTTCACGACCAAATCACTTCGCGACCGGTTTCGTGGAACCAATCACCGAGGGGTTCTACTTGACCTAAATTAAGCCCTGGGTACACAGCCTCAGGTGCGTGTGTGCGCGTATCCTTGTGCGTTGTCAGGAGCGGTGGCACGGTGGTCTAGCGCGTTGCGCTACGAACTCTGTATCCCGAGTTCGATTCCCCGCTCAGTGGCTAAAATCGGTGGTGAGAATTCGAACCGGACGTGGGCCTCTCCTTTGGTTGACTCATCCTTAAATGAGCCACTTGCTGTGGCGTGCGTGTAAAACGTCAGGCAAAGGGCGTGGTGCTAGCCACGCCGTTCCCTCATGTGGCGTGCGGGCCTTCAGCGGCGCTCGCGAACAGCACTTTCCCCCAAATTTTGGAACAAAAATTAAGCTCTTCCACCTCGATTGTCCAATAAGATTGTCCAATAACAACTGTCTGACGTGTTTGTGTGTGTGCGCGCGCGCACGCATGTACACACCCACGTGTGCTTGTGTGCGCATGTTCGTGCATGTGCACGAACATGCGCGTTCCCACGTACGCGCGCACACCCGTGTCAGCGTGCGTGCGTTTCACCGTGTGTGCGTGCGTTTCACCGTGCGTGCGTTTCACCGTGCATGCGTGCATGCGTTTCACCGTGCGTGCGTTTCACCGTGCCGGTGCGTGCGTGCCGGTGCGTGCGTGCCCGAGCACTGCTCTAGCTGTCGTGGGCGCACGTGGCACACACGATGTCGTCGCCCTGGACGATGAAGCCCTTGCCGGCGAGGGAAGCGTTGCAGCCCTTGCAGGTGAAGCACTCGTGGTGCCAGTGCCGCTCCTCGAACGAGATGAACTTGGCTCCCCCGGCGCCTAATCGCGCACGCACAAACACAGGACAACAACAGCAGAATGTTGTTGTTCAGAAGGGGGGAGCTGCATTCCCTGCTGTTTGGCAGATTCCTGCCCCTGAATGGCGGACGGTCTACCCTACATAGTGACCCGAGCCAGAATCAGTCCATTGGACCTCCAGTATTCCGCAAAGGTCCAGGCGGTACCGGTCTAGCTCCTGACGGAGGAATGAAAGCCTCTCCTCCCCCCGCAGTGCGCGTCCGGACGTTCCCCGCGGCCTACCGCAGTGGTTTCCTGCTCTTGTTGGAGGAACCAAGAGGGGGAGGAGGTTTGGCTATGGCCAGGAATCATCGTCGATGCCAATTCCCCGGGACTTGTTCTGATTTTTTTTTCCCCTCCGCGATTTTTCGGTGGTTCAGTTGAAGATGGAGAGGTCACCAGTCCCTCGGACCCGTCCAGAGCCCTCGTTGACCACATGAGCGGCAGAGCCGATAATTATCGCCCCCCTACACCCCCAGTGGCACTGCTCACGGTCACCACGACGTGACCGACCGCCAACGGCCGAGGCGCTGGAGGTTGTTTTACCAATTCTTAAATATACAGGGTGTTTGAAAATTTGGACCCGATTTGAAATCGCTATATCTCTGCAACCACGAACCGCCCACAAATGAAACTCTTACCACTTGAAAGGGCGGGGCATAGAGAGGGCGGGGCTTAGAGTTTCAAATGATTACTGCTCGATGCCTCTCCCAGCGCACAAACAGCCCCTAGCCTCAGTCACTCTCTAGATGGTGACCCCAGTGAACACAAACAGCCCCTAGCCTCAGTCATTCTCTAGATGGTGACCCCCGCAACACAAACAGCCCCTAGCCTCAGTCATTCTCTAGATGGTGACCCCAGCACACAAACAGCCCCTAGCCTCAGTCATTCTCTAGATGGTGACCCCAGTGAACAAACAGCCCCTAGCCTCAGTCATTCTCTAGACGGTGACCCCAGTGAACACAAACAGCCCCTAGCCTCAGTCATTCTCTAGATGGTGACCCCAGCACACAAACAGCCCCTAGCCTCAGTCATTCTCTAGATGGTGACCCCAGTGAACACAAACAGCCCCTAGCCTCAGTCACTCTCTAGATGGTGACCCCAGCACACAAACAGCCTCTAGCCTCACGTCATTCGCAAGACACACTGCCTCAACGTTGGATAGGTCGCCACGGGAGCCCAAGACTTAGCGCTACACTCTTGGCTCCCAAGATCCCCCCCCAGACATCACCACACCCTGCGACTTGTTCTTGTGGTGATACGTCAAAGACCCGTGGTGTCTTTGTGCCACCGTTAGCGACTAATCTGGATGACCCTCAAGAACAGAATCACGGCAGCGGTGACTTCAGTGGACGAAGACACTTTGAGAGGCGTTTGAGACGAATTAAACTATCGTCTCGATGTTGTCTGTACAGCAGGTGGAGGGCACAGAGTATTTATAAAACGGTTAGACAAACTTGATAACCCGTTAAACCGATTGTAACCTTTTGTGTAATTGTAACATGTTGCCATCGTGAAATATACCGCTTTCAAATTGGGTAAATCTTTTTAAAGACAACGATCCCCCCCCCCATATAGCCCTTAACGGGACTGTCGGGGCAAGTGCTCTTCGCGAATGCTTATGAAGGTCGGAACGGCGCTGACATGGGAGGTTGTAGTTGTCATCACCACCCCCCCCCCCCCCCCACTCCCTCACCCACACCCCTGGGATCCCCGCGGGCTCAGCTTTCGTAGAAGCCGGGGACACGGTGCCCCCCCCGTGTCCTCATCCCCTCCGCGTCTCCTCGTGCGACCGCGACCCGTGTCCCCCCGCCCCCCCCCGCCCCCCCCGTCCCCCCGCCCCCCACCGCCCCCCCCCCCCGTGCCGTCACCGGTGATGGGCGAGCCGCAGTTGGCACACTTGTGGGCGTAGAGGCCGGCGTGGCAGTCCAGGCACAGCGGCTCGGCGGCGTCGCCGTCCCCGCGGCTCGTGAAGCGCTGCCCCGCCAGCGGCGCTCCGCACGCACCGCACGCAAAGCACTCGCGGTGCCACGGCCGCCCCTCGTAGCGCACCCCCCCCTCCTTCATCGCCTGGGGGGGGGATGGGGCGGGGGGGGGCACGCCGGGGAGTGTCACCGGAGGGGAGAGAGGGGGGTTCGCCGCCGCAGCGTCTCGCGACTCCGCCACCGCCGCCGCCGCCGCGGCTCGCGAGACGCCGAGACCGCCACCGGCGGTGACGCGGGGGGGGGGTTGCCCCCCTCGTGCCCCCCCCCCTCGTGCCCCCCGCACCCTTCCCCCGCCGGGCCCCCCACCTTGTTGCAGCGCGTGCAGCGGAGGGCCACGTGACTGTCGTAGCACGCGGTGCAGAAGTTTCCGTCCTCCCTGGGCACGAAGCTCCCGGAGCCGATGGGCTTGTGGCAGCGCGAGCACACGAAGCAGTCCTCGTGCCAGCTGGCGGCGTTGTACTCCATGCGGCGGGAGCCTGCGCACCGTGGGGGGGGGGGGGGGTCGGGGGGGGGGGGTGGGGGGTCAGGGTGGGGGGGGTGGGGGGGTCAGGGTGGGGGGGGGGCAGTCAGCGCCCATTCGCCAGGAGCGGCACCAGCACGGACTTCGTGCTCCTCCTCAAAACCCGGCACCGCCTGCACGTGGTAGCGTCGCAGTCGCGAGCGGTTGCAAGCAGTTGCGTCATGGTAGCATCACAGTTGCAAGCAGTTGCGTCATGGTAGCGTCACAGTCGCGAGCGGTTGCAAGCGGTTGCGAGCGGTTGCGAGCAGTTGCGCCACGTTTGTGCCGCATTTGCGAGCGGTTGCATCGAGATTGCGTCACGGTTGCATTGCAGTTGCGTCACAGTTGTGAGCGGTCGTGTCGTAGTTGCGAGCGGTTGCGCCGCGGTTGCGAGCGGTTGCGTCGTGGTTGCGTCACGGTTGCGTCACGGTTGCGTCGCGGTTGCGTCACGGTTGCGTCACGGTTGCGAGCAGTTGCGAGCGGTTGCGTCACGGTTGCGTCACGGTTGCGTCACGGTTGCATTGCAGTTGCGTCACAGTTGTGAGCGGTCGTGTCGTAGTTGCGAGCGGTTGCGCCGCGGTTGCGAGCGGTTGCGTCGTGGTTGCGTCACGGTTGCGTCACGGTTGCGTCGCGGGTTGCGTCACGGTTGCGTCACGGTTGCGAGCAGTTTGCGAGCGGTTTGCGTCACGGTTGCGTCACGGTTGCGTCACGGTTGCATTGCAGTTGCGTCACAGTTGTGAGCGATCGTGTCGTAGTTGCGTCACGGTTGCGTCGCGGTTGCGTCGCGGTTGCGTCGCGGTTGCGTCGCGGTTGCGAGCGTCGCGGCACCTGGCGCGATGGGCTTGTTGCAGCCGCTGCAACGCTCCGCCACCTCGCTGCAGTAGCAGTCGCCACACAGCAGCTGCCCGCCCTGCCACAGGAAGGGCCGTGCACACAGCGACGTGGCGCAGCGTGCACAGCAGAAGCACTCCTCGTGCCAGTGCTTCTCCTGGTACGACAGCTCCTGGGGGAGGGGTGGTGCAGGAAGTGGTGGATCAGGGGGAGGAGAGTGGCGTATGAGGGGAGGGGTGACGGAGGGGGGGGGGTAGGAGGAGAGAGGGGGGGGGGTGGAAGGTGGGGAGGGGAGAATGGAGGCAAGAGAGAACAGGGAGGGGGTGGAGGAGGAGGAGGGGCGGGGAGCAGAGGGGGGGAGAGGAGGGAGGGGTGGTGAGGGGTGTGGAGACGCGAGAGAAATGGGGGGGATGGAGACGCAGAGAGACACGGGGGAGGGGGCACGTGGAGGTGAAGGGGGGGGCGCGTGGAGGTGAAGGGGGGGCACGTGGAGGGTGGCCCTCAGCACGTGGGTCGCGAGGACTGCCGAGTGAGTAATCTGCGGCAGGCGGAAACTTGCAGACAGGCACACCCACGTCTCGCGCGGCCAGGCAGGTACAGCCGAGCACAGGTGGCGGGACCAGGTGTGTCTGAGTACGAGTGGGGGGACCAGGTGTGTCTGAGTACGAGTGGGGGGACCAGGTGTGTCTGAGTACGAGTGGGGGGACCAGGTGTGTCTGAGTACAGGTGGGGGACCAGGTGTGTCTGAGTACAGGTGGCGGGACCAGGTGTGTCTGAGTACGGGTGGGGGACCAGGTGTGTCTGAGTACAGGTGGGGGGACCAGGTGTGTCTGAGTACAGGTGGGGGACCAGGTGTGTCTGAGTACAGGTGGGGGACCAGGTGTGTCTGAGTACGGGTGGGGGACCAGCTGTGTCTGAGTACAGGTGGGGGGACCAGGTGTGTCTGAGTACAGGTGGGGGACCAGGTGTGTCTGAGTACAGGTGGGGGGACCAGGTGTGTCTGAGTACAGGTGGGGGACCAGGTGTGTCTGAGTACAGGTGGGGGACCAGCTGTGTCTGAGTACGGGTGGGGGACCAGCTGTGTCTGAGTGCAGGTGGGGGACCAGGTGTGTCTGAGTACGAGTGGGGGGACCAGGTGTGTCTGAGTACGAGTGGGGGGACCAGGTGTGTCTGAGTACAGGTGGGGGGACCAGGTGTGTCTGAGTACAGGTGGCAGGACCAGGTGTGTCTGAGTACGGGTGGGGGACCAGGTGTGTCTGAGTACAGGTGGGGGACCAGGTGTGTCTGAGTACAGGTGGGGGACCAGGTGTGTCTGAGTACAGGTGGGGGACCAGGTGTGTCTGAGTACGAGTGGGGGGACCAGGTGTGTCTGAGTACAGGTGGGGGGACCAGGTGTGTCTGAGTACAGGTGGCGGGACCAGGTGTGTCTGAGTACGGGTGGGGGACCAGGTGTGTCTGAGTACAGGTGGGGGGACCAGGTGTGTCTGAGTACAGGTGGGGGACCAGGTGTGTCTGAGTACAGGTGGGGGACCAGGTGTGTCTGAGTACGAGTGGGGGGACCAGGTGTGTCTGAGTACGAGTGGGGGGACCAGGTGTGTCTGAGTACGAGTGGGGGGACCAGGTGTGTCTGAGTACAGGTGGGGGACCAGGTGTGTCTGAGTACAGGTGGGGGGACCAGGTGTGTCTGAGTACAGGTGGGGGACCAGGTGTGTCTGAGTACAGGTGGGGGACCAGGTGTGTCTGAGTACAGGTGGGGGACCAGGTGTGTCTGAGTGCAGGTGGGGGACCAGGTGTGTCTGAGTACAGGTGGGGGACCAGGTGTGTCTGAGTACAGGTGGGGGACCAGGTGTGTCTGAGTACGGGTGGGGGACCAGGTGTGTCTGAGTACAGGTGGGGGACCAGGTGTGTCTGAGTACAGGTGGGGGACCAGGTGTGTCTGAGTACAGGTGGGGGACCAGGTGTGTCTGAGTACAGGTGGGGGACCAGGTGTGTCTGAGTACAGGTGGGGGACCAGGTGTGTCTGAGTACAGGTGGGGGACCAGGTGTGTCTGAGTACGGGTGGGGGACCAGGTGTGTCTGAGTACAGGTGGGGGACCAGGTGTGTCTGAGTACAGGTGGGGGACCAGGTGTGTCTGAGTACAGGTGGGGGACCAGGTGTGTCTGAGTACAGGTGGGGGTAGCTGGTTTGAGGTGAGACCCGTGGAGTAAGGTGAGCTCTGGTGAGGGAGAGGAGCCATTGTCAGTACGAGGGGGGGGGGGAGCACGGGGAGGAGACGGAACCAAGTGAATGTCCATAGAGCGAGTGCCGGTGAGTTCCAGTCGAGTTCCCAGTCGAGTTCCCAGTGAGTTCCCAGTGAGTTCCCAGTGAGTTCCCGGTGAGTTCCAGTCGAGTTCCCAGTGAGTTCCCAGTGAGTTCCCAGTGAGTTCCCGGTGAGTTCCAGTCGAGTTCCCAGTGAGTTCCCAGTGAGTTCCCAGTGAGTTCTCGGTGAGTTCCCAGTGAGTTCCTGGTGAGTTCCCAGTGAGTTCCCAGTGAGTTCCCAGTGAGTTCCCAGTGAGTTCCAGTCGAGTTCCCAGTGAGTTCCCAGTGAGTTCCCGGTGAGTTCCTGGTGAGTTCCCAGTGAGTTCCCAGTGAGTTCCCGGTGAGTTCCTGGTGAGTTCCCGGTGAGTTCTCGGTGAGTTCCCGGTGAGTTCCAGTCGAGTTCCTAGCGAGTTCCCGGTGAGTTCTCAGTGAGTTCCTAGTGAGTTCCCAGTTAATCAAAAGTGAGTTCCCAGTTAATCACCAGTGAGTTCCCGGTGAGTTCCTAGTGAGTTCCCAGTTAATCACCAGTGAGTTCCCGATGAGTTCCCAGTTAATCACCAGTTAATCACCAGTGAGTTCCCGGTGAGTTCTCAGTGAGTTCCCGATGAGTTCCCAGTTAATCACCAGTGAGTTCCCAGTGAGTTCTCAGTGAGTTCCCGATGAGTTCCCAGTTAATCACCAGTGAGTTCCCAGTGAGTTCCCAGTGAGTTCCCAGTGAGTTCCTGGTGAGTTCCCGATGAGTTCCCAGTTAATCACCAGTGAGTTCCCAGTTAATCACCAGTGAGTTCCCAGTGAGTTCCCGATGAGTTCCCAGTGAGTTCCTGGTGAGTTCCTGGTGAGTTCCCAGTTAATCACCAGTGAGTTCCCAGTGAGTTCCCGGCGAGTTCCCGGCGAGTTCCCGGCGAGTGTCGTGGTGCTCACCTTGGACCCGCAGGCGATGGGCTTGCCGCAGTGCTCGCACGAGCTGGCGAGGTGCGAGTCGTAGCAGGGCAGACAGTGTGGCGTGCCCTGCGGGCCCAGCGCATAGCGGCCCCCCAGCAGCGAGCGGCCGCAGCGGCCGCAGTCCAGGGCCTCCGACATCGCGCTCGCCCGCTCACTCACTCACTCACTCGCCGACTCCTCACTCACCGACTCCTCACTCACCGACTCGTCACTCACTCACTCACCGACTCCTCACTCACTCACTCGCCGACTCCTCACTCGCTCACTCACCGACTCGTCACTCGCTCACCGACTCCTCACTCGCTCACTCACCGACTCGTCACTCACTCACTCACCGACTCCTCACTCACTCACTCACCGACTCGTCACTCACTCACCGACTCCTCACTCACCGACTCCTCACTCACCGACTCCTCACTCGCCGCCCGCTCACTCACTCACTCACCGACTCCTCACTCACTCACCGACTCGTCACTCACTCACCGACTCGCCGTACTGTGCACCGCTCAGCGACCTGCGCACCCAGGGGCATCGGAGAGGGGTCAGGGCATGAGAGGGGCAACACTCACCACAACACTCACCACATCACTCACCACAACACTCACCACATCACTCACCACAACACTCACCACATCACTCACCACAACACTCACCACATCACTCACCACAACACTCACCCTAACTCACCACAACTCCCCATACTCACCCTAGCTCCCTATACACCCCCACCCTAACTCACCACTCACCACAACACTCACCACAACACTCACCACAACACTCACCACAACACTCACCACAACACTCACCACTCGCCTTCACACTCACAACACTCACCACAACACTCACCACTCGCCTTCACACTCACAACACTCACCACAACACTCACCACAACACTCACCACAACACTCACCACTCGCCTTCACACTCACCACGCTACGAGATCACGATGACAGAGTGAGAGGGGAGCCCGCGGCTAAACGTGATGAGACAGCGGATATTTGGTGGTGGGTGGTGAGTGGTGGGTGATGGGTGGTGGGTGGATGGGTGGCTGTGGAGGATGCGAGAAGAAGGGGTGAATGACTCACTTCCTCTCCACTCGCTCGAGTTCTCTCCCCACGCTCTCCAATCTCTACCCCGCAGCACTGCCCACCACTCTCTGCCCACACTCTCCACTCTCTTGCCACCCTCCTCCGCTGACTCTCCCCGCTCTCTCTCCCGTCCCCACACTCCCCACTCGCCACACTCCCCACGACCGCTCTCCCCACACTCTCCACTCCCCACACTCTCCACTCCCCACACTCCCCACTCCCCACGACCGCTCTCCCCACACTCCCCACTCTGCTCCCACACTCTCCACTCGCCACACTCCCCACGACCGCTCTCCCCACACTCCCCACACTCTCCACTCCCCACACTCCCCACACGCCACACTCCCCACGACCGCTCTCCCCACACTCTCCACTCCCCACACTCCCCACCACCACTCGCTCCTAGCACTGCGACGATCTCGGCGCGCTCACACCGAGCGTGCAGTCCAACTCACCGCCACTCGCCCTCTCCCCACTCGCATCCTGTCCCCTCGCTCTCCCCCCACTCACATCCTGCGGCACCCTCGCTCGCTCTCCTCCCCCTGCACCTCCTCCCACTCCACCCTCTCCTCCTCCCTCTCCTCCTCCCTCTCCACCCCCCTCTCCACCCCCTCTTCTCCTCCCTCTCTTATTCCTCCTCCCTCTCCTCCTCCCTCTCCACCCTCTCCTCCTCCCTCTCTTATTCCTCCTCCCTCTCCACCCCCTCTTCTCCTCCCTCTCTTATTCCTCCTCCCTCTCCTCCTCCCTCTCCACCCTCTCCTCCTCCCTCTCTGATTCCTCCTCCCTCTCCACCCTCTCCTCGTCCCTCTCCTCCACCCCCTCTTCTCCTCCCTCCTCCTCCTCGCGTTACGCGGAGGAGGCTGGTCATCACTCATCGCGACTACTCTCACGCTTACCGGAAAGTAAGACGCACCCCCCCCCCCCCCGATTGTGCCCAGTGTCAATAAAGTTCTCCCACGCACACAGAGGCAAAGGTGCCCCGTGTAGCCTGCGCAGGCTGTAAGGGCAAGTGCTGCTCGCGGGCTGAAGGCCGTCACCGCACATGAGTGGGTGGCCAACTCCTCCACGCCCGGCCACCTTTGTCTCTCCATTGGCGATGTTTACACATCGCACCGAGTAATCATTGGAGGCTGAGTCGGCGTGTGTGTGCGAACACACAGGTACACACACACACGTACACACACTCCTCCATGCCACACTCCGATAATAACCGCATGGCCCAGCGTGACCCGAGGCGATAGCGGAAATTACACCTACACACACACACCCACACAGACACTAATACCTACACACACACCCACACACATTAATACCTACACACACACCCACACACATTAATACCTACACACACACCCACACACATTAATACCTACACACACACCCACACACATTAACACCTACACACACACCCACACACACTAATACCTACACACACACCCACACACACTAATACCTACACACCCACACACACTAATACACACCCACACACACTAATACACACACACACACTAATACCTACACACACACTAATACCTACACACACCCACACACACACTAATACCTACACACACCTACAATCACACACTAATACCTACACAAAGATCCCCCGTATAGCCTTAACAGACTGTAGGGGCAAGTGCTGTTAGCGAGCACCTATGAAGGCCAGAACGGTACACGAGGGGGTGGGTGGCCAGCACCACGCCCGACCGCCTTTGTCTCCCTAGTGGCGATATTTATACACCGCACCAGGTACTCATTTGAGGCTGAGTCGACCTAGGGGAGGCCCGGGACCGGTTCAGATAATCGTCACTGGTGTTGGCCGTGAGCGGGAATCGAACCCGGGTCGCCAGGTTCATAGCGCAGCGCGCTAACCGCTACACTACCGCTCCCCATAATACCTACACACACACTCACACACACACACAAAACAAAGATCCCCCTTATAGCTTGTAACAGACTGTAGGGGCAAGTGCTGTTAGCGAGCACCTATGAAGGCCGGAACGGTACACGAGGGGGTGGGTGGCCAGTACCACGCCCGACCGCCTTTGTCTCCCCAGTGGCAATGTTTTTATCCACCGCACCAGGTACTCATTTGAGGCTGAGTCGACCTAGGGGAGGCCCGGGACCGGTTCAGAGGGGGGCCTCCCCTAGGTCGACACACACCTACATACACACAATCACACCTACCTACGCACACGTAACTACACACACGTACCTACACACACACACTCACGCATACCTATACACAAAGATCCCCCGTATAGCCATAACAACAGACTCTTGGTATAAGTGTTGTTAGCGAGCACCTATGGGGGGGGTCAACACCACGCCCGGCCGCCTTTGTCTCCCCAGTGGCGATGTTGACACACCGCATTCAGGTACTCATTTGAGGCTGAGTCGACCTAGGGGAAGCCCAGGACTGGTTCAGATAATCGTCAGCGGAAATCGAACTCGGTTTGCCAGGTTCGTAGCGCAGCGCGCTAACCGCTACATGACCGCTCCCCACACACAATCACACACACACACGTGCACACACAATCACACACACACGTGCACACACAATCACACACACACACAATCACACATACGTGCACACACAATCACACACACAATCACGCACGTGCACACACGTGCACACACAATCACACACACAATCACACACGTGCACACACAATCACACACACAATCACGCACGTGCACACACGTGCACACACAATCACACACACAATCACACACGTGCACACACAATCACACACACGTGCACACACAATCACACACGTGCACACACGTGCACACACAAACACGTGCATACACAATCACGCACACTGTACCTACACACGCAAAGAGAAAGATTCCCCATATAGCCTCCAACACACTGTTGGGGCAAGTGCTGTTAGCGAAGAGCACTTATGAGGGCGCGCACAGTACGAGGGAGTGGTGGGGCTAACACAACTCCCGGCCGCCTTTGTCTCCCCAGTGATGACGTTTACGCACAAACGCAACAACCACGTAGCACCGATTTACCCCTTGCACAACACTCAGCAACAATCTCACGCCTCGAGGGGTATCTCCTCTCACGCGAGATGCACAACACAGCACAAACACACACTCATACACAGCACAAACACACACTCATACACAGCACAGCACAAACACACACTCATACACAACACAGCACAAACACACACACTCATACACAACACGCGCAACACGCAACACACCACACACACACAACACCCCCTCGACCCCCGCCCTCGACCCCCCCCTCGACCCCCGCCCCTCGACCCCTCCCCTCGACCCCCCCCCTCGACCCCCGCCCCTCGCCGCCGTTTCCCAATTTCCTGGAGGGAGGAAGGCGACTTGGGCTGAAGACAACCGAGGGGAGGGGTGGAGGGGCGGGGTGAGTGGGGGGGTGGACGAGGTGAGGAGAGGGGTGGAGGTGAGGGGCGGGGTGAGTGGGGGGGTGGACGAGGTGAGGAGAGGGGTGAGTGGTGAGGGGGCGGATAAGGGGTGGGCGAGTGAAGTGGGTGTGAGGGGTGAGGTGAGGTGAGGGGTGAGGGGTGGAGGGGCGGGGTGGAGGTGAGGGGTGGAGGTGAGGAGAGGGGTGAGGTGAGGGGTGGAGGTGAGGGGTGGGGTGAGGGGTGGGGGGTGGGGTGAGGGTTGGAGGTGAGGGGTGAGGTGAGGGGTGGGGTGAGGGGTGGAGGTGAGGGGTGGAGGTGAGGGGTGGAGGTGAGGAGAGGGGTGAGGTGAGGGGTGGGGTGAGGGGTGGAGGTGAGGGGTGGAGGTGAGGTGAGGGGTGAGGTGAGGGGTGGGGTGAGGGGTGGAGGTGAGGGGTGGGGTGAGGGGTGGAGGTGAGGGGTGAGGTGAGGGGTGGGTGAGCTGAGGGGTGAGGGGTGGAGGGGCGGGGTGGAGGTGAGGGGTGGAGGTGAGGAGAGGGGTGAGGTGAGGGGTGGAGGTGAGGGGTGGGGTGAGGGGTGGGGGGTGGGGTGAGGGGTGGAGGTGAGGGGTGGAGGTGAGGGGTGGGGGTGAGGGGTGGAGGTGAGGGGTGGAGGTGAGGGGTGGGGTCAGGGGTTAGGTGAGGGGTGGGGTGAGGGGTGGAGGTGAGGGTGGAGGTGAGGGGTGAGGTGA